AATCGTTAGGCCGCGGTTATACTCCTGAGGTAGCAGGTGGTAGGCTACAGGTCACGGGTGACAATGCGTTTATATTTTTCACGTTGCGGGTTACCGACCGAATAGTGAGCATTTCGGTGTAATTTTCATCAGTAATCGCCGTCTGAAGAAAGTGCTATAGCAATATGGCGGATTTCATCTATACATTTTGGTAGGATTTCGAATTTATTCGGATGTTATTCCATTTTATTTTAACTAAAGATACAAGCCAAGCTACGTCAAAGTGCCACAGAATAGTGCCGTGCTGCCCCGCCCATACCAGTCGTACTTTGCAGATATCTATGTTAAATATAAACCGAAATACTGAAAACAGTGCAAAACGACATTGTCTGTTGCCTACCACCCTACCTACCGTCAATGGTTGTTATTTAGCAGTGCTTGAATTCGACTTGGTGACAACATTTTCATGAATATTGCTACTGACTAAAAATCAAATTAAATTAGAATTTAATATCCCATTTCAAGTATTCTTTATGATGCAGGTCGAAGAAGATGGTATCATTATCTCCACAGAAATGTACCAACCCAAACCTTTCAAATTACGCTGATGATTGTTTGTTCTCATTTCACTTGTTCATACCGTGGAGCTTCTTGGCAGCGTCTAATTATATTTTTTTATAATCCGTAATTATCGGCCAGAGTAAACAGTCAGCATTTTTCATGGTTGATTACACCACGAAAGAAGCCACTTGACTGTAGCATGAAAGGAATGTTAATCATTCTGATATGTCTATTAACAGATGCTTTATTTCAACCAGTAGTACTCTTGCAAAAATGGAGTCAAGTAGATTGGTTCGTTACTAAAAAAAACAAAAAAAAAACAGTATTAAAAATCACCACACTCTCTCTCCTTTCAACCCTTAGGCGAATATCACACGATCAGTATTTACTGTTATCCGTCAGTATTTATCATGGAATTTGATTTTTATTGACCTTATAGCCAGGACGTCGGTGTTTATTGATGTATAAGGTTACGTAGACGTCCACTGACACTGATGGAATGCAGTAATTACTGACAAGACATGGTACTTCTTACATAATTTGCAAAAAGCGGCACATGCGCGATGAACGTAGATGTTTTCACTGGTAAGTATTTATTATTGTGTTGATACGACGTGGTCTCTTTGGTGGACATTGGTAGTCAAACGCGTCCAAAGTACCAGGCCTGTAAATTAAGTGATCAGACTGTTTTTTCTTTATTTTTTTTTTATTCAAATATAATTACAATTTTTTATTGTCCCCCTTCTGAAGCCACACAGCGCTGGAGACGGTTCTTCCACTCCTGGTAGCAGTGCTGGAACTCCGATACTGGAATAGCCTCCAGCTGGTCGGTTACAGACGTTTGAATGTTTTCGTCTGTCCCAAAACGAATTCCTTTGACGTGATTTTTCAACTTCGGGGACTCAAGTCGGGCGAATAAGGAGGCTGAGGAGCCACAGGAATGTTTTTACTGGCCAAAAACTGAGATTCCTGTGTGACAAGAAGAATTATCGTGATTCAACACCCAGTTATTCTTGATGAACGGTGGTGTGTGTCAAATTTAACTCTTCTCGGATTATTCTGACTGTCACCCGATGATACGAACGCGCAAGATTCCGGATTCTGTCGATATCTTCATTGGTTCTTGATGATGAAGGCCTTCCGCTTCCATCTTCAATCGACTCTGTCCCTTCTAAAAATAACTACGAGGAACTATACTCAACAGTACTTATTTCTCAATCATTTTCAAGTATTTAGAGGTATAAAATTCAACATCTAGCACAATAAAGTTAATAGGATACAATTTTAAATTACATTATTATTTACCCAGGCGTCTTTTGTTTTCATTATTTATGTAGGGAGAAAAATGCTAGTTTGCAATAGTGATATTTTTTTTTGGATCAGTAGTGAAATTTTCATTGATAGCAAAAAGGTGTGTAGTTAATTCGTAGAGAAACCAGTTTTCACCATTTTGCCAAACCAAGTACGGACCAATAGAGCTTTGTTCACTACCGATAATATTTACACACTTGCATATTTTACAGCGTGGGTCTTGCAATTAACCTGTGAATAGGCGGTATCGCGATACAATAGATTTTATCAACGTGCAAAGTACATTGTAAATTGAATTCAGGTTATGTTGCAAGAAATATTCTAAAGTAAACATGTCGGGATATGTCTAGATACATTTGGCATATTCCTTTCAGATCTTGATGATCAGATCTAGAGTAACGGTTTGATGCGGTTACACTGTATCCTTGACACTAAAGGAATGCAGTACTTATGCTTGAAATGCTATCGGTTGAAAATAATTCAAGGAAGTATTTTCATAGTCAAATCGGGTTATTTTGAAGTGTAGGTTGTTGAATCGCTGTCGTATATCAAGGTGTGATACTAAGAGAGCTTTACCAAACGTCTGTAGAGTTTCACGTTATTTCGATAAAAAGTACCTTTTTCAATACTAACCAATGTTACCAGGTCTACCGATTTTTCGATAGATTTACCAATGTCAGTATTCTACAGAACTACAGATTTTAATGCAAGATCTACAGAAACATTTCTCAAATTCATAAATAGTATATTTCTGATATAATTTAACGAGACACATGAATAGAGCACTTAGCTTTGGTGTTTTCGATACACATCTATTTGGACCTGATGACGCCAATAAGCAGAAACGTACCTTTTTCGGGTTACCAATCTTTACTATTTTGCTCCTGTTCCTTTATTGCGGGCATGCCCACGATTGTTCTTTGTTTTTCATCTAAGTTTCCATTTGTTTTCCTTGGAAATTTTACCAATTATGTTTTTTTCTGGTGATGGATGAAAGAAACAGAATTAAAGAGAATTTTCCCAAAATCGTCCTTATTTTTTTCCTGTATTAATTTGAGATGGGATCACAAAATAAAGGGTACAATAACATCAATAACATACTTTTTATTTTGAAATCCCACTTGAAATGAAGCAAAAAAAAATAAAAACCACTTTGGGAAAGTTCGGATTATCTGGAAATACTCGCAATTGCAAAACTTTCTAAGTGCCATTTTCTTAGTTACCTAAATGCGCAACTTTACCCCCATTAAGCCGACTTCGTATCTCTTATGGCGGTTTTCCACTAAACGGACAAAACAAAAACAAAACACGAACTTGTTCCCAATAAAACAAAACGGTAACTTTTTGAAGACTGGCGTGTTTTGCGACAGAGTTTTGTTTTTCGTGTTCCGAATCGGAAGCGGTCACATCAAAAGGTTTCGGCAAGTTTTGAAACTCTAGTGTGTTTAGTGGAAACGATCGTGTTGTTTTCTATTTTCGATTTTTATACCAAATTAGTTGATAAGTAAATAACGTATTTTTTTATAGATATACTAAGTGACATATAAATCCGAACACCCAGTTTAAATGGTTTTATTTTAATAAAATTTTGTATAAGTACTTAATGAAGCATAATAAGTAAATGATAAAAATTTCAAAATGATTGCACTGCTTTAAAGCCCTTTGACCTTTAATAATGTGTGGATGCACCCTGATGTGCTACGCATTCTCCAACGCGCCTAGGCATGCTTCTGATCAGGTGGTCAATGTCCTCCTGTGGTATCTCATTCCAGGCAACCACCAACTCCTCTCGAAGTGCTTCTAGAGTCTGAGGAGGACGGTCTGTTGTTCTACGGCGGCGTCCAGTGCCCCTTGCTCTTTGCGTACGGCCTTCTTGAAGCCATGCCTGACAACACCTAACCACAGTGTCTACACTTCTTTGCACTCTAACTGCAATTGCCCGAAAAGAAAGTCCAGCTTCCCCAAGTCCCACTATACGGCCCCTATCAAACTCACTAAGTTGACGAAATCGTACAGGTATCCGTACTCTAGGCATCGTAACCGATCGTAAAGGATGTCAAGAACCAAAATCCGCCAACGTTGATTCTTTACTGCGGCTAAAATATTCATTTTTAGAGTGTTAGTGAATTTAAAAAAAGCACTATAAAAACCGGAATGTCCAACTGATAAGGCTGAAAATTTTTTCACTTGTTATTTACAGTAAGATAAATACATTCACCAACTTTTATTAAAATAAAACCATTTAAACTGGGTGTTCGGATTTATATGTCACTTAGTATATGTATGAAATTTCTTTGAGAAACGAGAAATTTATAAGTACATTAAGCTTTGATAACTGTCCCCACTAGCAAGGAACTTCAGTATTACTGCTGATTGGTATTTAATAGAAATTGAAGTCTTTGTGTAACTTTGCAGCTCTTCAAATCTCCATCCACAAGGTGCTGCACCAACATTTACTCTTCTAGATGAATTTGATCGAATCCAATATCTGTGGTGGTGTTTTCCTCTCCTAAAAGATAATACTATTTTAATCATTAATAGATATACCGTATATGTACGATTGAAGTGTTTACTTGGGTAGTTTATAGATACATATAGTTGCAGACATAGCTAGTTTATTATAGATATCATACATATATACACTTACTTTTTTCCAACCTTAACTAAGAATAAAAAAGCTTCTTCTCTAAACACGATTGTTGGTTATTGAAGAAAAACTGGACTTTGACTTCCTTGCGATAACCAGTCGAAAAGGGCCCAAAAAAAGCAAAGCTCGAACAAAATGTAGCCCGCTTGATGGAAACAAGAGTTTTGGGTTTGTTTGTTTTGATTTTGTCTTTCAGGTGTAAGAAAATGCAAACACGACGTAAACTCAACTTCCCTTTTAGTGGAAAAATGTCTTTACAGTTTCCGAGATCCCAGTGATGAGATTTCAATTTGAAAGACCTGGTTTGTATAGACGGGCCATATGCAATATGGTCACGATGGCCGGGCTATAGTTGCCATAGTTATAACCAAATATTGCTCGTTCAGATGTTCCATCAGGCAAACTGCAGCAAAAGACGCAACTGAAGTTACAGTGAAGTATGTACTTAACTATAGGCTTTTTGTCGTTTTTAAAAACAATGCATTTTGCCGGTAACACATAATAAACAACTAATCCTTTAAGGTATGCGTTGAAAAGCAAAATGTTATAGCCACATTGCGACGACATGGCAGCAACTTTGCTGCTATGGGAACCCGTTGACACAGAGAGCAGTTCCATGGTGGAACCCATTCATTCGATGGGTACTCGCTGAACGTACGGTACATACCATACGCTTGGACCGATCGTACCATCGGTATCCGCGGTTCCGCGCGCGTTGAGAGAATTCGAACAAGTTGTACCCCTTTTTCGCGGGTAGTACTACTCTTTTTCTTGGAAATCGTAGTGTATTGCAGAAGGGTTTTTGGTTGTAAAGTGAAGAGTGGTAGTGTGGTGAAGTGTCACAGTTCTTAGACATCGCAGGTATGTATAACTAATCTTCTTCAATTTAACTTATCTTATGTCAACCAATATGTCAACAGTTATGTCAGTGATTCACTAAGCGATAGTTCAAAGTGTTGCTTCCGGATTACTCAGGTTATGCAGAAAACTGAAATGCCTCGTTTTCTATCTTTTCTTTTTTATGGGAACTATGCTATCGCCTAATTCAAAACTTAACAGGGCGCATGTTTTCAGGATAATTTGGATTGATTAAATTTTATATTGTTAGTTTTATTGTCTGTATTCGAGACTTATACGGACTCTTCATCTCAACTAATGAGAGTTGAGTAATAGGTTAAAAACGATATTTTCCGTCGATCAAATATTTAATGGTTACTATCAAATATTTCCAACTGCTAAGCTCGCGTCGGTATATCTACAAAGATAGGACTGATTGTGGGGCTTAGAGTCGTGATGTGAAGTTCAGGTGCCGTGGTTCAGTTTGATGGCAAAGACATTCAGGACCTTCCACCATCACATTATTAGATAGCATTCCAGAATTATCTAATCTGGTTGGACAAATACTTATATTGATAAACTTCTAGAAAGCTACCTTAGGCTTAATAGTGTACTTAAATATTGTGTACTTTGACTTGGGATCGGAAGGTAACTTGATAAAATTAAGTTTGTCAGTATGGAATAAATATCGTAACTTGATTCCTAGTCCATGACCTTTCTAGTTTCAGATACACTGTTCACTGTGCTTTTCAAAAATGTCTCTCTACTCATTTTTTGAACGGGTCAAATTTGGGTTAATGAAAGTGATCAATTTCGGGATTGTGGTGGGGAGCTATGTTGAAACATTTTTTTTTAATAAAATGGGGATCTGGGATACCTTTGAGGTCCTTTCTGAGTACTTTATAACCATACAGTATAAAATAACTACCTTTCAAAATGGCAGATGGACAGACTTAGCATTTTTATACTCGTACATTGAATTGCTTATAATAATAATAAGAATAATAATAATAAAACATATTTATCGGACGATGTTGACATGTAAAATATCGATTCACAAAATAAAAAATAAAAGCAATATATACTACTGAAAATGCAGAGGTTTCAACATGAAAACGAATTAATTGAGTAAAATAATTCAAAATTAAATAATAGGGAAAAGTATACATATACATTACACATATTTATAGAATGATGTTAATGCATATAAAAGGAGTGAGAGATATATTCATGTTATGAATATAACACAGTAAATGAAATTTGAACAGATTAGGAATCGATAACCATTCCAATTTAATGAACGTTATAGATTTATCTGCAACATGAATTTTTAATTTTTTGTAAGCGCTTGGCAGATACTGAATCTAAAAACGGATGATAAACAATGTCGCATAATATAATTTTTGAAATAATTAATGACTCACAGAGGTTTTTTTTAGTTTTGTAATCGAGTTTGTTCAAGTATAATTTACCGAACTTTTTGTAACATTGTCCACATGAGGAATGAAATTTAGACATTCATCAAGAAATATGTCTAGATTTTCACAGATCCACATACTTTTATAATTTCACAATTTACAGGTATTGTCGAATATTTCTCAATTTGATTTACATATATTTTTTTAGGAGGTAATATAATTAATTTTGATTTTTCTGGATTTAATCTAAGATTATGAATTTTTGCATACTTGTCGATAGATCGCAAATCTTCATCATTAATTTGAGCCTCAGCAATTATTATGTTGTCAGTACTAAAACTATTCTATAACTGCTAGTCATCCGCAAAAACTGAATATTGCAGTGCTTAACAACCTTACCAAGATCGGAGATATATAAAATAAAAATAAGTGGCCCAAGAACCGACCCTTGAGGTACTGCCGATGAAATTACAGCCTCGGGTGAACTGTTCATATCGATGACAACCCTTTGTGATCTATTTCTTAAAATTTTACATTTGGCTACTGAAAGTGAATGGTTAATGGTGTCAAACGCTTTAGAAAAACCCAAAAGAATTAACAATCGATCATCAAAACGCTATAGTGTGTTATATCAGTCTTCTTTTTTCGGAACGATCTATCCGAATATGTGATAAAATATATAAAAATCTATTTAAAAAGAAATGTCAAAATCTATCCCTTTTTAAACGGAATGTCTCATTCAAATAGACCCTGTGTACAAAAACACTAAAATTTGGCAGCTCACCAGTCCGTCATTTTAAAAGATAGTAGATTTATACTGCTCGGTTGTAAACTACTATTAAGGAACTTTAAAATAAGAAATCACGTGGCCACCATTCCATTTAAAATATGTTCCAAGATAGCGCCAGGCGGTCATTTTAACATTTTTAACTGTCAAATATACTATTTATGCAATTTCATCACCGCCAAATTTCACCTTGCTAAATTGACCCGTTTAAAGAAAATAAAAGTGGGGGCGATCTTTTTGAAAAGAGCAGTATATTTATAGTCAGAAGAGAGCTTGCTGATTTAGATATATCATACTCACACTTGGCACTCAGAGATCGACGTAATGATGTAGAAGTTTCTCATATTGTCTCATTGTACAAATCGTACATTGCACGGTTGTTGATCTTTTAGGAGATGTATTCGACATGCCGTCGTTATTAGCTAGATGACTCATGTAAAAAGCTTGTATTATGAATCAAGTGGTAGGTATAGATGTTCGTTAGCAGACAAAATCTGGTTCTCAAGACTACAAACAACTGGAGTAAACTCTGGTTTAATCTGGTGCACTTTATATAATTCTGGAACTTTTACGATGCAATTTCACCAGAGTTCTGCAAAAATGAACTGCCAGAAAACGTCTTGCTAAGCTGCGTTCAAGCATCCGTTGATAGTCTGTCAAATACGGCTAAAAACATTGTACGTCAGACTATGTTCGATAGAATTGTTTGCATTTTGTAATACTCACTTCTATTCAAAGATATCGGCATCACTACTTTAACAATGATAGCATTGCGTTCAATTCCTTCGAAATTATCTGAGATTTGACATAAAGAGATATTCAAAACTTAGCTCTTGATAATACCTGTCATTAGTGTCAAATGTCTTTATCATTGAAACCAGTTTAATCTTGAGTTTAGAATGTCGACAATTCCAGATTTTTAATAGCATGCAATAGAGGTTTTCTATGGCTGGTCGCAAATAACAGATTATTCTACTACGTTAATCGAAATTGCTGGTATTATCTACTCGGCGAGTTAATTTATGCAAAAATAGATGGATCTTCTACAAATATCCAGCAGAAAGATTAAACTCTTCCATTCGGTATTTCATAAAAGGGAGCGATTAGTGCAGTCACAGTTATGTTATTTGCATATCAACGGTATGCCAGTCTCACGCTCAGATGCTCTAATGAATGAATCACAACAAAACGATTGATTTATTAATGAAGCAGTTACTAGGTGGCCTACTTGTGATAAGCTGATGTACTTTAACATGATGCTACCGTTTGTACCGTTTTTAAAAATAAACGATTTATTACTTGTCACATAAAGAGATGATTATAGTCTGGTATACCATTTACCACGAAATGGTAGGTGGGCATACAAATAAGAGGGCCAGTACGTTGCTGGTTCAGTCTTTTTGACATATTTCTTTGACTGCAAAAGACCAAATAGCTTGAATATGTTCGAATTTGACGCAAACTTCATGTGCCCGCTCAGGGTATTCCCAGACACAAGGCAGCAGCGGTGGCCGCAGTAGTAGACTGTTCGGTCTCCTGATCAGTCGCCGTGCGCTGTGCGGGTTCGAGTCCCGTCCCAGGAGGAATTTTTTTCTTGGCTATGGATGTTGTGATTGTCCGTAGGTGGTAGATGGTCTCTGGACTGTCGAACGCGGAGGTACCACCCGGCGGATCTCATAGGCGGAGCCAGAATGTGTGCATGTTGCATGCACACGTGTTCTCTCGCCAGAGTCCGTGTGGCGTCCCCCCTTTTCCCATGTATCCCCTATAGCCCCACGGTACCCAATGGGTGCTTAGGCCTTAGGCCTTCGTGGTAGTTAGAATATATAAAAAAAATCGAGGCCAGTAACATTGATGTGGACTGTATATTAATTGTATACAAGGAAAGCAAGCAGATACAAGTTATTAAAATGTATAAATCGCCATCCATACTTGTATCATCATTCAATAAAGAATTATATAAGTATCTTGAAAATAATGAAGCGCTGGACATTAATTTAATCATAGGGGATTCAAATATCCATATTTTAGATCAAAACGACAAAGACTCTCAAGACAATTAATAATACCAGGAGGTTGGATGGAGAGATCGTGAGTTGCATTGATCACATATACTAAGTGACATATAAATCCGAACACCCAGTTTAAATGGTTTTATTTTAATAAAATTTTGTATAAGTACTTAATGAAGCATAATAAGTAAATGATAAAAATTTCAAAATGATTGCACTGCTTTAAAGCCCTTTGGCCTTTAATAATGTGTGGATGCGCCCTGATGTGCTACGCATTCTCCAACGCGCCTAGTGTGACAATGTGACATCATTATGTTGAAAAAAGTCTATTGTGACTCTTGCAACATGTGGTCGGCCATTATCTTGTTGGAAAGTTGGATCTGCCAGGGTGTCAAGATAGGGTAAAAGATGGGGTTCTAGAACTTCGTGGATATAACGCTGCGCGTTCATGTTACCTCTGATGAAGATTAAAGGTGACCTGGAACCATAAGCTATAGCACCCCAAACCATAACTCCAACAGTGTGATGAACATGTCTTTCAACAAAAAACTGTGGATTTCTCTTTTCACCACGTCGCCTTCTAACCCTGGCACGACCATCGTGCATGCCTAAACAAAATCGAGACTCGTCACTAAAGACAATACTGTTCCATTCCTGATCCCAGAGTGACCGTTGTCTGCACCACTCAAGGCGATTACGTCGGTGTTCTCGAGTTAAAGGGAGGACCCAGTGTGGCCGGTATGAAAACAAGCCAAACACTTCGCATGCCAATAGGTCTTCCGTGTTCTGCAAACCATTCATTTGCAA